CAATTTGATAGTCCTACTATCAAGTTTTATCTGAGCTAATAATATGTATGCTTGCAATTAAGGAATTTCAAAAAATCGGATATCTACAGTTAAAAGCTACTGGAATTTCAAAAAGCTACTGTTATTACTCCATTAATGTTAATAAGAGAACAATGATATTTTACACAGTCCACATATTCATATGCAAACCCACAAAGAAAGACAGAGCATAAGATGCATGACTGAAGGCTCCCAATGGTATGAATATAAAGGCAAAGGGAAGCATGAGAAGGAAACTCCATTAGTCAGTTCCAGTAAGTCATTTTAAAAGGAGAAGGAATTTCTTTGGCACATGCTTTTGCAGTTAAGAATCCTCATATCTGTTCTGCAAATAAGGCAACATTTAACAATTGAAGCAAAGCAAGGCACACACTTCTACAGAAACATCATGCTTGGTTCGTATTGAAGATAGGATTTCTGAGGTCAGATCAAATCTATGTTGGCTTTTCCTTTTCCACAATTCAATTACCTTCCACAAGTGCCTTTGGGGATGTTTTTGCCTTCCACCATTCACTGTTTCTCGACGCTCCTGCAGGGATGAATGCATGGCATGCAGCGCATGTGCAACTACATAGACTGCATTGTAGACGTTGTAGCTGTGGGCAGTCATGCTCGTTTCAAACACCGATGCAGGAAGACTCTCCAGCTTCTCCTCCCCAGTGCAGATGTCCTCAGCAGTCAACTCTGTGTTGTGACTGGGGAACATGCAATTAAATGCCTGTTGCCAGAAGTCCACCAGAAACCCATCATTCTTTTCCCAAGTAGGGTTCCTCTTCTCAAGAAATTGCTGGAATTCCAACACCTGCTCTGAATGAATGGAGAGGGATATTGAACCGTGGATAGCATGCATATCCAAAGTTCTTTGAAAAGGAAGGAGTGTGAAATCTGCATCTGCTGTCATAATCCAGATTTTGGCCTTCCCTGGTATATTTTCGAACTGTGCACCACTAAGCAAAAGTATTAGATTTATCATACTGTGAAATTCCCCATGAAATATCACAGCATTGGCATTGCTTTCCATAGCTGTGCTGATGGTTCTGTGTCCTCCCAACACAAGGTCACACATGTCAGTGGAATAAACAGAAACTTTTTTCACAAAGTCAAAACAGATACCGCTTATGGAAAACATCGGAAACACGCTCCACATCAATTCTTCTGTCACAGTTCCAGTATTAAGGTAAATCAGCTCAATCCATGTCCACATAAAATGCAGCAGAAGCTGGATAATCCCTCTATATTGATAGTCCCCACTGGGGAACATCCAATGGAAGAAGACAATTTGGGAAGTTGTGTCCATTCTCAGAGCAGAGCTATATGTGAGCTATGAAAAATGAAGAAAACTGGACAACATATGAGTCAGAAAACCTTGGGTGGGGTGGGGTGGGGTGGGGAGGATGTTGCATGTGATATATTGCCCCACATTGCACAGAAGAAAATGCTCCCATGGTTTAATTTTTTGGTGAGATCTCTGGTTGAAGAAGTGACAAACATTTCTAATGTCCAGGTGTGTTTGGATGGACGTCATAACATCTCATTCTGTAGCTATGAAAATAGACTATCTCAGCATCTGAAGAATACTTAAGAATGTCTACGGAGAAACCAAAATGTCAAAGGTTGCATTTGACTGAAACCTGGGTGGTGGAACAGGACCGAATTTGCCTCTCCCATTTGTGTGCATTTGTGTTGTTGGTGAAACATCAGGCATGAAACAAATTGAAGATGACTTGTGCAAATGGGGGAGGGGGGTTCAGGAGGCTGCACTACAACAATGATGTATTTCTACTGTGATGTTCACACATATTCAGTGGCGACAAGGTAAGCGAAGAAGCAACATCCATATTAGGTACACTTAAATGAATAGCCAATTTATTCACAAAACTGTTTGATATGCAAGGCAAAAAAAAACAAAACAAAAACCCGAAGAACAAAAGAACAAAACCCAACAACGAATCCAATCATAAACTAAGAAGAGAGAAGTAATACTACCACTGAACAGTATGCCACATACAAGCAGAAGAACTTTCCATTCCACATATGCAATGGGAAATTTTCTGCCATTAATTGCCA